AACATAGCACATGTGTTTACACACTATGAACATGCACACGTCCAAATGGTAAGTATACATCACCTCCAGTAGTGTGCCAGGAAGCACCCACAATGTGTGAATGGCACCCACAGGAATCCAGATGATGGAGCCCAAGGCGACGATCCAGCCGACCCCCTGAGCCCAGGGAGGGAAGACATACTGCTCATAGCGGGCGGGTTTGAACTGGATGATGGAGAAAATCAGGATGACCTGCCACAAGAGAAAAAGAATATTAAATTCAGTTGAGACACTTCTGGATGGATCTCAACTGTTAAAATGTTGTTGTTTTTTTAAAGCCTGTTGACTTGCAGTGATCAGCACAGGAGCAACTATGAACCAGCACACTCTGAAGAAGATGTTGGGTCTTGATCCGTTCATCTCTTTTACGTTGGCTGAGAGTCGGTTCACACCTGCACGGCAAGAGGCGTTTTAGGTCAACCTTTACGTGTCAGTAGACAGTTGTTTTTATTGAGTTTTATTTGCACAATCTTATTGCATTGTGGCAATTAGAGAGAACGTACACATAGCTATAAACATGTGTTACGAGGTTTCAAAGTCAAGTGCATCATCAGATTAAGTGGGTCATGGCCTAAAAATGCTTTTCTCACCATAAATCCAACAGACTGCAATAACCTCAAAGAATGCAAGGAACATGATGGACACGATGGCAGTGTAATGGTCCATCAGCTGGAAGACGTAGATTCCCACCTGGATAGAGACACACTCTTTAGGACAGCAGCTCAGTGATATTACAGTTTGGTTCTAATTCGGTTTATACAGTGGGTTACAGTCTTTACCTGCATGACACAAGGAATTCCTAAAAGTAAAGCAAAAATGCAAATTGCAAGAACCAGGAACTCCTTCCGCTTGAAAATTGCCATCACTTCTTTATGGAATTCATCCATGAGACTGGTCACCATCACTTCAACCATCGCAAACTGGTAAAAAAAAAAGAAGAGAAAAACTTTCTCGAATTGTACAGTAGCACAGTCCAAATACTGTACCTCAGTGGATCATCTTCCATCTACCTCACTGTCCAGTCCAAGACAAAGCAGCATGAAGAAGAACAGCACAGCCCAGAGCTGAGACACTGGCATGTTGGCAAAGGCTTGTGGGTAAACAATATAAACCAGTCCTGGACCTGAAGACACAAAGACGTGACTGAACAAGCAACGCGTGGCTCTTCTCTTTTCAAGCATAACAACTCCCTCACAGAGACATGAGTGTACATGTAAAGGTCAAAATCAAAAAAAAAATCTTTGAAATGTGAGCTGTTATAAGACCTCTCATGGGTTAGGATTAGACGTGTTCAGGTAGTGATGTGAAAAAGTATTCATGAAAGACTGCAGTTACAGCACTTTAAGTGTCACGCTGTATGACAATTAGATTTTTGCACTGCAAGAATAGGAAGTCTTTTCTAACTTAACTGTCTTTAGTCTAGTTAACACACATATACAAAATGCCAAGGATGACACAATAAATCCCAACACCTTCTCTCCAGTTTGCTCCTTAACTACAAAACTATGCTGTTAAAAAATGAGGATAATGTCATGAAGTAATGAAGTACTTTTAACAAGTAGTTAAACAAGTAACATCAGTTTTTCCTGGAGGGGTTTCCAGTGAATAAACACAGAAGTAGGCTGTGAACTATCTTAATGATTAACATTAAGTAACATTAATTTTTAACGACATACACTCACTGGTTGCTGCAGGCAGAGGTGTTATAAGAATCACCTCTTTAAAACCTCTGGATAGGAATCCAAGAGAGAATTCCTTCAACATCAATGGTAGGGGTTGTATAATAAACATCCAGCCAATCACGTTGTTGCACTGACTCTAGCATGGTGTCGAGAAACTGTGCGCAGTAGGAGTTTAATGCTTTTTAAACCATATATTTAAGTGTGTTTTAATCAGATTTGGTTGGTGATTCTATGCATAAAGCTTTAATGTCCCAGTGACCGTGTAATTTAAGTTATGGTTGTCTCCACATTGATATAATCTCGTCTGGTTTGCCTGACATAAGCCCTCTGAGTGGTGAGTCACTGTTCCAAGTGAAGGAGTTTTAGTATCTCTGGATCTTGTTCATGAGCGATGGGAAAGCGACAGTGGTGGACGACAGTAATGTCGGCGTTGCATTGGACCATCGTGGTGAAGATGGAGCAAGCTGGAACCTTTTGATTTAACAGCTAATCTGCATCCAAACCCTCACCTATGGTCATGAGCTCTGGGTAGAGACTGAAAGGATGAGATCCTAGACACAAGGTGCTGAAATGAGTTTCCCCCACAGAGTGTCTGGGTTTAGGCCCAGAGATAGGGTGAGGACCTCGGAGTAGAGTCAGTGTTCTGAAAGGAACCAGCTGAGGTGGTTCAACAGCTGATCAGGGTGCCTTCTTTTGGAGGTTTTCCAGGCAGCTGGAAGGAGACCACCGGGCAGACCTGGAATGTGCTGGATGGATCACAGATCTCAACTGGCCTGGGATTCTTAAAATCCACCAAGAGGAACTGGAAAATGTTGCTGGAGAGGGAAGTATGGAGCGACCTGCTTATCCCGCTGCCACCATGACCCGACCACGGACAAGCAAAAAACATGGACGACAACTACTGCCCTGGGCTGTTACCAAGATGGCAGCTGGGTGGCAAGATTTGACTGTAAAGGCTTTGATGGAGTTGACTCCATTAACTTAGCTAGCCAGAAGCTAGCTTCAGCTACGGCATTCATCCAGCTGAATTGACTGGTGCTCCGTATCTTTAGAGTTTTTTTGAAGGAGGAGAAACAATGTCTTGTCTGTTATCCATTTACTATAATTAGCATACTTTTCACGCTACCTTAAGCAGGTCATCTGGAAAGCTCCTTTCTAACTAGAGTATCTGCTTAACCTCGCATGAAAAAAGCACAATCAGTCAGACTCGTCTCTGTAATAGCAATAATCAGTGTCTGAAATAACTTCATGTTTACTCCACAGTGCATTAGACTGACATTCATGTCTGCTCCTTGTTTTTAGTGTGAGCTGAGGGTTTACTCTCAGAGAACACATGTTCACAGGATTGAGCTTTTAAAACCCTGAACAACATGCATGCATGATGTTATGAGGTCCGGCCTTGAGACCAGGAGAACGGGACTTCCTTCCCATCACTATCTCTCACCTTCACCTTTTACTTTTGCCCTGAATAGTTTATGATGTTGTGTTTGGTAATACTGTAATCCTTGACCAGGAGTGGACATCATGCTCTTCATGTTATCATGTTTGGTTCAGGAGATATGATGCAAAACACATAATATGGGGGGGAGACGACGACAACTGCCATTACTACCATGAAGCTTAAAGCATTTTTGCAAAGCTCCATTTCTGAAAATGGACAAGGTTCTGAACTGGACAACTACTGTATGCCAAGTTTTCTATGTTTATGAAAAAGTGGACATGGAGTGGTGAGTCAGTGGACAGGACGGTGGTTGTAGGTGATTTCTTTGAATTTTTTAGCTTGAGTTTGTCATTTGCCACATCACCATGGCTTTATATTACCGTTATGACTGGTATTTTATTGGATTATATCTTGGTTTCACTTCCCCAGAGTCAGAATTATTAAATAAATTCATATAATTAAGTGAAAAATGTGTCACAAACAGAGGCATTGTCTTGCTAGAATGCTGATTTATAAGCCTGCAAATCCTCGCACAGGTCAAATAAACTATTGTTATGACCCTGTGCGGGTCATCTGTGGTGTTTTGTGTTTTGCTGCCTGTGTCTGTCCCCAGTGTGAGTTTGTGTGCATGTGTGTGGTGACGAATGAATTAGGAGCAGGTGGTGACCCCGGGTTGGCTGGCTCACCTGCTGCCGCGCCAATTTCCAGCCACATCATTGGTCAGAGGGCGGGCCAACCCAGTATTTAAACAGCCCGCCAGCTGTGGTCCTGGCTCCTCACCTCCAGCATCACCACTTCGGAGAATGCCAGCAGACCCTTACGCAGCAGTCGTGTGTTTGTTACAGAATCGTTTGAAAACAGATCCTGAGTTTTGTCGTGACCCTTCGTAAACTTGTAGTTGGAGAGCAGAATAGGAGGGAGAGGCCCTTTTCTTTTGTACCTTTTCTCCTGTTTTTTTGTTCTTAGGTAGGTAGGTGAGATTGTTGTCTTTTATTTGCTTTTTCTTTTCTGATAGCCAGGATTAAGGTAGGACAGGTTTTGTTTGTTGTTTTGGCCTGATTTCCCCTCTTTGTTGTGAAAATAAAAAACTGCTTGTTTGATAACTGACTTGTCGTTGTGGATGGCCTTCTTCAAGGTGGAGAGACTGGTGTGGAGCAATATCAATGCTATGCTCAAGGTTCCCCTAGACCGGGGCATAACACTATTTTTTATCACAAGTCGCATAATTTAAAATTAAAAACATAGTATTCACTTCGGCTCCAGCATCCCCGCGACCCTCATGAGGATTCAGCGGTGTGTAGATAATGGATGGATGGTATTTACTCTGTTTTTATCACTTGTTTTGTTTTCTTACCGTCCACAGCCAGTTTGCTGACAGGAACGCTCTGTAGAAAAGACATGTAACCCAGGGCAGAGAAAATGACGAAGCCAGCCAGGATGCTGGTGAGGGAGTTGATGATGGATATAGTCAGTGTGTCCCTGTGGAGAGAGAAGATCTGCTTTATATCACTTTCTTACTACCCAGGGATCGTTGTTGTCAGCACAAATGGGGAAAAGAAATGCATCTGTGAGGGTTTTTCGAGCTGATTACTTCAGGATGTTGTTGTTGAAGGAGTTGTAGCTGGACATGGCCATGAGAGAGCCGAAACCAATCCCAATGGAGTTAAAGATTTGAGCTGCAGCGTTGACCCACACCTGCAACACAGAAGGTCTCATCGGTGCATGCGCAGTACCAGAAATTCACAACATTTTTAACTGGATTTATTTTGTTGTTGTTACAATTTACTATTATTTTACAGATCTTTAATTTAAAGACAATAGCTAGTAAGATTACTGAAAAAAAGTATTAATTTATATGTCAAAGCTAAAAAAAAAACACAGCCCAGAACTGTAAATAATAAAGATATTTTCTGGTATTTGAAAAAAAAAAAAAAAACAATGCTAAAATGATACATCATTTTAAATGTTATTTTACAGATTTTCTATGTTAACATAATATTTAGCAAAATTACAGAAAGAAGTATTAATTTACATGTCAAAGCTGCAAAAAAAGAACAAAACCTTATCAAACACACTGTCCATGTCAAAAAATTGATTTATAAATAATATTTTTACAGATATTTTTACATTTTTTTTTTTAGAATTTGACTGTTATATTGCACCGTTTTGCTGTATTTAAATCAGCTAAAATTTTATTTATCATATTTTATAATATTTGTCACTTTTTTTTTTGCAATTTCTACAGTTTTGGATGTCAAAGTATTCCACTGGGTTTTAAACATATTTTTTTCAGGCATTTTTACTGCCAGCTTTTCACAGCTTTTTGCAATTAAAATATATACATATATGTATTTACATCTTGTGCAGTATTTTCTCTCATCTCCTCTCTTTTTTCTTTCTTACCTCCACTGAGAGCAGCATGTCCCACTCCGGCACGATGAAGAAAATGATCCCGTTTAACGCTCCGGGAAGCTGCACGTTATTGATCAGCAGGGCGATCAGGATAACGTACGGGAAGAGGGCAGTGAAGTACACCACCTACACTCACAAACACAAAAGTGAATTATTTATTGTGTGTCCATCCTTCCGTCTCCACGTCTCAGGTTCTCTCCCTCATCGCTCACCTTGCCTGTTGATTTCACCCCCTTAAAGATGCAAAGATAAATGATGATCCAAGCCAGAATGAGGATGAGGAAAAGCTGCCATCGCAGTGTTCCCGCTTCATGCACGCCAGCAGTCTGCTCCAGCATCCTATATCTACAGATACGGCAACATATAAGAGGAAACAGGTGGTGGATTATTCATGCTCTATGATTTGACATAGAGCTTCAAAACACTGCAGCCATTAGCAAACAGATCATCTTGGCAGCAAATCATTACTAAATGGTATTCCACACTGTTTAGGCCTTTTATGGTTTTGAATTTATTGATCATTCACCAAACAAATCCTATTTTTGCTCAGTATTTATCTCCCACCATATTCCCATCCATAGTTGGCGCTCGGTAATCTGTCCACCACAACACGACACTGTAACCTCGTATAAGAGAGATAAGATGAAGATTTGAATATGGATTTGATAATTATGGATGTGGATGTTTGCTGAAAGACAGATGGCTGAGAAATGAAAGGAAAAAGTGTTTTAGTAAGGTTTTGGGACGCCACATGCCATCAGAACAGCTTCAGTCCTTCCCATTGATTCTCCAAGTGTCTGAAACTCTACTGGAGGGACGAACACCACTTTGTCCAAAAGATATTTCCTCATTTGATGGAGAGAGCCTACACATTGGTGTCCAACTGGGCTGAGATCTGGTGGCTATAATGGCCATTACATGTGGTTTATATCGTTTTTATCAAAGCTTTCAGTGAGTCCTTTGTGCTGATTGGATGAAACTCAGCATCGACGTTCACTGTCCCCAGAAAATGAACCCAGATGACCAAAACAGTGACTTTTCCTCTGATGTAACCATGAGATTGATATTCACCTGTTACAGAAATGTCTCGACAACTATTGGTTGGATTATTTGGCTTGGATATGCACCATCAGCAGATTTACAGTAGAAACCAGGAGTAATAAAGAAATCTCTTTAAAAAAAAAAAAAAAAATTCTTTCATTATTCTGATGTTTAGCAAATAGAAATAATTTTGGTAATCCTAACTGACCTAAAACAGGACACGTTTCGTCACACTTAATGTCAGATAGTGAGAATAAAAAAGGGTTTTATGTCTTTTTTTATTTTTTTACAGTGTATATAAACTTGTGGTTTCAGCTCTGTGGGTCACCTTTCATTGCCAGAGACCTCAGTCCCTCAGTTATTGTGTGAATTGCTAAAGATTAAAGACAGATTTTGTAACTGAACTTTCACATCACAGCAGAGTTACATCCTCTGCTTTACCAGGTGATGTTTTTGCAGCAAAAAAAACATTTTCAAATGTGAGTCCAAAGGTCTGAGACTTTCCTGACTTTAAATCAGGTGTGAACAGGAGCTGGAGCCAAACCAGCCGTCCTCCCCGAGCTCTGCCTCACGTGTAGTTTTGGCTTTTACCACCACATACATGCAGCTGGAATGACACATTTTAAAGTTAAAGTGGTTCGTTAAAGTGCTTTAACTCGTATCCAGCTCCCACATTTATCCACCGACTGCAGTTACTCCAGTTAATGAGTAACTGTGGAAACGTGAAGCTTCACTCCGCTGTCCAAACACTCGGCTCCCAGGAGGCACGGAAGTGTTCAACTGAAAATCCAATACTGTCAGCACCAAAGTCAAAGAACCAACATGTGTGTGTGTGTTTTTTTTATAGGAATTTGATAGCATTTTATAGGCGCAAGCATCCAAAAGATAAAGGTTGAACTGACATTGCTACACTTCCGTGAGGTATTTTATCTGTGAACCCGCCTGTTATCGCTGACCTTCCCTTTGACTGATATCCCTCACGTGACTCTGATAGGTTGTGTTTTCAGTTGCTTCTTTAATCTAATCACAATTACCTAATCTACGTTTATAGTCATTAGAAAAGCAGCGCCAGTTTGTCCCGCACAGCAAGACGTACTTGAAGAACTCCTGGCTCGCTGTGGAGGAGAAGCTGCTGTCGTTGGTGGCGTGGGTGGTGCAGTTAGGCGTGTTCCAGGTGTTGTTGCAGTTTTGCCACGGCAGCGGCGCCTGGAAGGAGCTGAAGAGATAATACAGGGCCCAGGTGATGACCACATTGTAGTACATGCACATGATGAAGGAGATGGCCACTGATGCTACGCCCACTCCTGAGATCAGACAAAAAAAAAGGTTTTTAGTCGCTGCTGGTGTTTGTGTCACTGTCTGACAGGTTTGTTTGAATGTAGTACCTTTCAGCAGTGGGCAAACACTAGCCAGAGCATGGACCGGCCCTCTCCTCATGTACTGACCCAAAGTCAGCTCCATGTAGAGCAGAGGGATGCCCAACACAAACAGCATGATCAGGTAGGGCACCAGAAAGGCACCTGGCAGAGAGAAAGTTGTGGTGAGTCAGCTCTCATATTGCTGGCAAATGAGGTTAAGACTAGTTTTACAGTATCCTCTAATCTTTAACTGCTGTGAAACATTTTAACTACCTCCTAAATTCCTTCCTTATATCACTGTAGCCTTACATAAAAAAGAAATGTTCACCTTTAATGCTGCAAACCAAAGATACCTTCCTAAACCATGCAGAGCTGAGAGTTTGTAATGAAATGCATATTAAGGAATTTTCCAACACAGTCACTGTCGCTGCAGAACAAACAGCTCCACGTTCATTAACATGCTTTTGTCAACCTTTGCACCCAGTGTGGAGACCGGCGTCGATGTAGTGTAAAAGGCTGCTCTAGTTTCATAATTCTACCTGAGCTCCAAGTGTCAGCTTGGATTCTCACCTCCTCCGCTCCTGTAGCACAGATAAGGGAACCTCCAGACGTTGCCGAGACCCACAGCGCAGCCGATGCCGGCCAGCGTGAACTCTATCTGCCTGCTCCATGTCGGTCTCTTGGGCGGCTGATCCATGTCAGCTCCCTGTATCATCACGGCGGATCGTCCAGGCCCAAACTCCATGGAAAGTTTGACTGGCATTTAAGTGACTCTGGGTGATATAACCTTCCTTTTTATTATCCTTAATGATTAGCTTAGTAGAAGCAGCATGCTGCAGCCCCGAGGCTCATAAGGAGGGAAAAGTAGGAAGAGTTAGCAGGTGTCATAAACCCACATTACATTTGGAGTTTTTAATTATATCTAAACGGCACAAAGGTTAAAGACATTAGAGATTATAATGATCATATTTATGACATGTTTTTATTTATCTTGTGATCAAATACTTTTGCTCATCTTATGCTAAATAAACTATCAACAATAGATTTTCTTGCCAAATACAAAAAAGCTTGATATTTTATTTTCTTAATATCTTAATGAGCTGAATCTCATTTTTTAAAATGATTAATTGGTTGCACATGTGAAGTATTTGTAGTTTTGTTGGTGTTAAACAACATCCTGTCTTGTTTGATTATAAGTTGAGTCATCGTGACTAAACAACTTCTACATAATTATGCTTTATGATTCACAGATACACTGATATCTCCTCAGATAAGTAACCACGAAGAAAAACCATAACAAAAATCACATGGCAGCTTTCTAAAGAGTTCATTTATTTATTTAGTAGCAATTAGGCTTGTTTGTTTTTTGTCTAAAACTTGCACTTATGTCCCAGTTGGAGGGGCTTTTTATTGATCTCCCATTTTCCCCCAAGGAGACACACATTTCTCAGTTTGATGTTGTAGAAAAAACTCTTACTCTGTTTGACAAATGGGGAAATAAACATCAGATGAAGGCACTTAAAGATAGTGACCTGAACCGCTGTGGTTCCTAAAATCAAAGTTTCAGAAAGCTGCTCTTTCCACAAATGAAAAACTTTTATTTTGTTAACTACTGAAGATTTATTTTTTTTATTTTTGGCAAGTTTATGACATAAAGCACATGTTTGAAATATTCACAATGTATTTTTGTTTGTTGTTGTTGTGAGTCGCATCAAGTGTGACTGTTTAATACAATTAAAACAATGTTTTTAATGTTTTATTGTTCTGTTGTTTGTCTCTTCAAATTAAAACTCTTAAAGTGACCTCATGCTGCTGTTGGTTCTTCTTTCAGGATATTTAGTCCCATTTAGAGCACTTGTGATCCAGATTTGATCATCTTGACAAGTTTGTTTCTGGATCACTGTGATTTACTCCAATGTTGCTTTAAAAAATAAAAAACTCCACAAAATAAAAGACCTGATCCTGGACAGCAGAACATGGGATTATCAAATCCAGATCTTTCTGATCCAGAATAAACTTTCTGATCAACTGGGCACAGAAATAATTGTATTGTTGAATAATAGGGTCAAAAATCTCAAAGCTAAATACTTGATAAAGGAAACAGGAAAATAATTATAGTTGAGCCACAAATTATGAACTGCTGTGCCAAATTTGATTAATAATGTTTTATTTGTTGTTGTTTTTTTTTGTTTTTTTTTAATTATTTGAATAGTAGTGTCTTTAGACTGGAAATAATATAAACAAGTGGCAAAAGGTGGCAAAGACGTTGTGCCAAGCCAGGTTTTTCTGCAGACATCCTGATGTTTTCCTCTAGAACTTTAAAGCCATCGTTCTTCTCTCATTAAGAGACTTATTTTGACAAGATCGCGTGGCTCATCGACTGAAAAACAGCACTGAAGCATCACATTCCCACCACCATGTTTTCTGTGGGACGGTGAGATTGACTGCTTTTCCTTTTTTTCTATCAAATGAAACTTCAAACACCATTTTTATCTCATCTGACCACAGAACTGATGGTCAACCACTTTCTTCTTTGTCCAGGTGAGCTTTGGTCCAAAGACGAGGGGAGTTTTTGATTGAAACCAGACTTTAAAAAAAAAAAGTGCAACAATTTTAGTGTGTATAAAAAGTGTACACGAGACATTTATAGTAAAAATGTTCAAATAATAAGACGCAAATGTAAAAATCATTAAAGATGTATCATCATCTCTAACACAGGGGTGTTACAGGGGTTGATATCAGGCCAGGAGAGAGTCCTCCTCCATGCTCAATCCTTCCGAACCGGTGACCTTCTTGCTGCGAGGCAACGGTGCTAACCACCGAGCCACGTTGCAGCCCCCCTTCCAAAGTCTTTTGCAATTAATTTGCACGTTTCTTCTCCGTGTATTTGTTGGGATTCTGTTTACTATTTGCAAAAAACAATTAGACAATTTTGAAGTAATGAATAATTACCCACATTTCCATTTTACTCTCTCTTGGGCCACACTCTCCCCCATTAGTCAAGTCATCAAAAAGAGACGAAGCTGGACAAATTAATCAGGCGGGCCAGCTCTGCAGTGGGCATGAAACTGGACTCCCTGGTGACAGTGGCAGAGGGGAGGACACCGAACAAACTGCTGGCTATCATGGACGATGCCAGCCACCCTCTGCACACTGTCATCATCGCCCAGAGGAGCCAGGTCAGCGACAGGCTGCTCCTCCCCAGGTGCAAAACCAACAGGACCAAAAACTTCTTTGTCCCCCTGAGCCATCAAACTGTTCAACTCTGAGCTCGGGGGGAGGAACAGCAAGCAGGGAGAGGTGGGGGGCGAGGGGTGAGGAGTGAGGACATTGGGGTGAGTTAGAGCATCATGCTCTATCACCGGACTGTGTGCAATATTTTGGCATATTTTGGCAAATTTTGTTACTGCATCCATTATTATTGTTGTTGTTATTATTATTATTACTAATGTTGTGTTGGTGTTGTGTTGTTGCTATTACAACAATTTCCCTGAGGTACCCCATACCAAAAGGATCAATAAAGTTCTATCTAATCTAATCTAATTATTTTCACTGATCACAACATTAAAGCCACTTGCCTAACACTGGCTCCCCTTGGAACCTTTGGGTGCTGTGGGAGCGGGGCCTCCAGGGAAAAGACGAGTTGTGCTGCAACTTGTGTGTGCTAATTTAAACAGGAAGTGGTGGATTTAGAGGCTGAGTCATCACCTTGAGGTTGATGTCACGTTGCTCGAGCAGTTTTTGAGCAGCGGTAGACCGAACAACAATAGTTCAGTAAGTGGTACGTGTCACAGAAACATCCACATGAGTGACAGGACTCAAGGATTCAGAACATTGTAAGGAGATGATCAGTGTGATTCATTTCACCTATCAGTGGTTTTAATGTCGTGGATGAATAGTTTATGCATCACATTTAAAACAGGCATTGAGCCAAAATCCGTTCCTATAGAGGAATAAGTTCAATGTTACAAATTCATTGGACTAATTGAAACATTAAGGTTAAGACTATAGGGCGGGTCCGAATAGCAGTTTCTGTTCTCCAGATATTCGGCCCAATTAGTGACGAATATCCCGAATATTTGGAAGGGGGGCGGCTGAGTATTCGTTCACACAAAGGCTTTTCTGTATTCTCTGATGTCTTGCTCTTCTGGGCCTGACATACGTAGGAGCAAAAACTAAAGTGTGTTCAATGCATGCTTTTGTTTTATCTGTAATTTAACAAAACAGAAAAAAAAAACAAGCTTTTTGCTATTTTTTGTCATTTAACGCCTAAAAATGCCACAGCTCTTAATGGATTGTCATGAAATTCTATCGTCTCCAGAGGATAAAACCTACTGACTTGGGTGACTTCTGGTCTCTGTTTGACTCTAAATTTAAATATGTGTTGTTTTTCTTCTTTTTTGTTTTTTATCACAACATCTACTTAATGGATAAACCAAAATGTTGTAAATGCATTCATGGTTCAAAGACAATAACGCTGATTGACTTTGGTGTTTTGATTTAAATATTTCATCGACTCTAAGATGGTCTTCTGAAAGACGAGATACAGGCATTCATTGCTCCCAAAGAATGAACTGTAATAACTGAATTTCTATTGATTTAATGCTTTAACAACCAGTTGCAAATTAGCAAAGGTTAGCATGCTAACAAGTTAAGCAATCGATTCATTAAACTAGCTCAACAGGATTAGACACAGCGATTACATTAAACTGTAATCACTGTAAAAACATAAGAGCTACTGGATGCTCTCATTCATTGGAATGATCTGTTATTAATACCACATGGATGAAGTTTGCAGTGTTACAGCAGCAAAGGGTATAGTGTGAAAAAGTCAAGACAACAAAAAAAAGCACATTAATACACACTAAAATGGAGAATATAAGAATAATAACAGGTGGATGGACATTTATTGTGATTTTACAAGGTGGACAGGGATTTTTCTTTGCCTTAAATGTAGAAAATATCACTAGTGCACTGGTTTGGAAGCCTTGATGTTGTTGCACCACAGTGAAATAAGTCGGGCTTGATATCCCGATTGTAGCACAGCAAACAAATAGTCGGCTATTCGGCTATTCGGGTCCAGCCCTAGTTAAGACCCTACACTGTTGTCGACATACACATATCACCTGAAAATTATAAAAATGTATTTAAGCATTCAAGTTCATTTGGTTTGAAGATCAAAAATGTGCCTGGAAATAATAATAAGGTTAGAATACTGTCACTTACCAAATAATTGTGTAATACGAAGCATCCTCTATGGCATCCTCTAAGCTCTAAACAGAGCCTACCAAGAAAAGAAGAGCCTGAGGAAGAGGGATGTATTCGTGCATATCACGAGTTCACGAGCACGTTTTGGTCTGTGGGCCACAGCCAACCCTGCTGGAGGAAAGAATGTGGTGCAACAGGAAATCAGAGGGATGGAGGAGAGGCCGGAAGGATGAAAATGAAAGCAGTTGGGACGTGTGGGAAACTAGACAGATGCTCGCAAGGCAAGAAATGTGCACGGTGGAGATACTGTTTTCCTACTGTCAGAGTGAGTGAACATAAAACAAGCTTGCAACAGCACAAAACTCAAAGTCAGTCAACCAACAGCTGCAGTCATGTCAGACATCTACAACCATCTTTGCGCCCTCTGATCAGGTGCCCTTAGGTTTGGAGGACCGTCATCACCAGCTCACTGGGGCCTCAGCAGCACACAGTCAGCCTCATAAAACAGGTTTTCGTGTGATTTTCTTCAGGAATGTTTGTGAATGCAGCTTTGAGGTATTGCGACAAGCTTGCCACAGGCTGTGGTGAAGGATATCCACATGCGGCTTTTTTAGGGTCAGTGTGGGGTGTGGCCCATTTCAGGTTCCGGTGTTATTTCCTGCTCGGCCACATTTTGTTCATTTGTGTTGCAGCAGCAGCAGCAGCAGCACCCTCACATCCATCTGTCGGCCATATGGAAAACACACCATGACGATGGCACAGAGGTGGAGCAAATACGGAAATCAAAACTATTTACCAATGAACACCATCATGAACCCACTTAAGCTTGTAAAACCTTGAAATCAGGATATTTTCTGTTGTGACGATTTCACATATGAAGCATTCAAGAGGGGGAACTTTCATGTGCCAAAGAGCATTGTTTGGGTGGAAAATGATATTTGGAAGCTTGTTCACAAATGAGCAATCATCAAGACTCATCTGACTGACTAAATCCAGCCTTTGGACTGTGCCAAGGTGTAAATGTGGGCCGGTCTTGTGATTTTATGTGGATCTGCAACCTCATCACAGGATTTCCACCTAGTTCATTATGCATACAGCTGAGGTACAATTAGAGGCATTTTATCAAGTTTTACAACACCCCAGGAGGTGATCATCTAGTCACAAGATGCGTCCATTTGTGGCCCATCAAATCCTACTTTAGTAATAAAGATTGTTTGTTTTGTTCAGGTTTACAGCTGTAAGTGCACCAATGTAATAAAGAGAAAACATGCATACTGCTGGATGAGCACAGCAAGCTTCAATGTATAGAAACAGACATGTAGATATCAGAGGGCCTGCAGGGGATTAGTCCTCCTCAACATTTAGAACACCTGCATTTGTCCCCCTCCCAAGAATAGCACAGTACAGCATATCAAACACAGATCTGGAGACGCTCTGAATGTGCACAAAGCTTTGACATGTGCAGGAATCTTGCTGATACACATACAAGCTATGAAAGTCCAGGAGAGTTATAAATTAATAAAATAAATCATTGATGTGGATAGGCACTAAGTGTGCCTTTTTAAGATGCTACTCCCTCAAGAAAAACACATGAGGGTACACCGTGTCTAAGTGTGAATCAGCAGGGATGATAATAAATAAGAAACGTAAGAGAATAAATGCCGAACTGTGTTCTATTCCATTACATTTTAAATTGTCACCTTGTGGCTGAAGTTTGGGTTTTCCTGAACATAGATATCCATCCATCCATTATCTATACACCGCTTAATCCTCACTAGAGGGGGGGCTGGAGCCTATGAACATAAATATGCCAAATGTATTTATTGAGCACATTTAAAAACCACAAGAAAGTTTTGTAGACATCTAGATCTCAAAACATCCACAAGGTTGGTTGACGAACACATTTACTAAGATATATATTGATGCAGAAAAAGCGCAGACTGGTGCACAAAACTTCCCTAGAAAGCAGGAAATAAAGTGCTTGATGTGAAAAATTTCCAGAGGAAGGACCCCCACACAACCCCCGCCTGATGTCAAAAGGAAATCTACTCCAAATGAAACACAGCCTCCAGCTGCAGCCTCTCCAGTGCTGCTCCAACGCCTCTCACCGATGCGTGTGTATGTAAATGATACGGAATGAGTAAACATCATGTGATAAGGTCAGTAAACCCAAAAGGAAAATTACAGTCACTCTTGTTTAGGTTACTTGCGTGGGAGGACATTTAAACAACCACGCCTATTTGATTATTATGGTATGGTAATCCTGTGCTGTGGATGAGGGGCAGTTTGAGGGGAGGGGTAGCTGGTCAGCGCAGTTAAGTGACCAGCAATAAAGCCTGTAAGTGCAGCATTGAAACATTCAAAATAAAACTACAAGCGCTGTAAAACACGCCTTTCATCGGGCTGCACTTCCGTTACGCACTTTTATTTTGGAAACCCCGAGCGGAAGTGCGACGTCCCATGACCGTTAGTTTGACGCAGCGATCGTTTCAACTCTCCATTTTGAAAAAAAGTGAAATCCTCGGCAGGGGCGTGAAGAAAATATTCCCGACTTGCTGCAACAAGGAGGAAAACTGAGTTTTTAAACTAAATTAGTTTTGTATGCGTGGCGTGGGTGTGGATACACGATTTTTCTGTCGGTAAAATGGGAAACTGCCACACCGTTGGACCAAACGAGGCCCTTGTGGTTTCAGGTAATGTAAACGCTGTTTGGACGATGTGTGTCTTAGCTGCTCGACGGAGAACTCTTAAAGGAAACTGGCAAATAATTAGCTAAAAACACTCCTCTATCATTTATTCAGAGAGTAGCTGTTTGCCGTGTGTGTTAATCAGAAGCCAAAATTACGTGTAATATTACGACAAACCACCATTTGATGTAGTGGAGCGGTCGACAGCCCCACACCCCGACAGCCGAGGAGGGGAGGCGGATTTACGGGCTTTACTGGACCCCTTATTGATAAATGTGCACGGATATGGAAAGATATGTGGTTTTAACAACACCGAGACGACTCATGATGTCTAAACTGTATCTGTACCTGCTTGTGTGTTTTTTTTCGGAAGATGTTAATTAGAATAAATCCACCTGTTTTCTCAGTTTGTCTTTCTGAAATCTATCACATCATCGTTTTGAGGTTATCCCTGGATCTGAACCGATTAGATCTGTTTTAGTTTTCTATCTGATTTGATTTCTGCGTATGGTTTCTGATTTTTCTTGGGTATTTTATGAAGATAAAGCAAATAATATAAGAGAAAGTAGAGGATTAGGACTAAAAGCTGTGTTTGACTGTATGTTTGTGGTGGTGCTGCGGGCTGGTGGCTGTTTGCTGCAGGAGTACAGCCACATTAATTAAATTACAAGGGAAGGGCTCATACACTATCCTGGTCTGGTCTGAAAACAGCCATCAGCTGATTCTGGTTTGTCATACCCTCTACACAGAACACACAAGATATTTCTTCATCTTAATCCTCAGGGGCCTCCTTAAAAAAAATCCCCTTTTTGTGTCAAAGTTTTGGTCTCAGACACAGAAGTCTTTCTTAAATTCATTTAAAACAGAATAACACCAAATCTGTGACCACAAAGCTCATCCTACACTCTTTTGCTGTGTAATCAGCTGATCAAAGCTTTTCCATTGATCTGATGTGGATCCCCATTTGCCTGCTTTTAGGAATCACTTTTTTATCTTTGAAAATCTTTCTGTTTGTCAAAATTGTGGTGTGTCAGTGTTGTGCAGCGCGCTCCCGTGGCTGTATCTGTACCCACCACTTCCTGTCTATTCCACTTGTGATGAAAAAAAAAGAGAAGCAGCCTTTGGGATTTTCCATTGTTAACAGTCTTTATGTCAATCACCACATCTGAGAATGTAGATTTAGAGGCGACGTGACCGGGCATGATCAGTACATCCTGATCCCCACATCGGTTAATTCACAGTGTGAGAATAAATGATTTTATAGGTCTTTAGGGTGCCGGAGCAGAAGTTTTTGGGCCTAACGTGAGTGCTGAGACGTAAAGTAATGCTGCTCTGTGCTGAGAGTCAAAGTATTCAATATCAAAAGAAGTTTATCGTAGGATTTTATTTTAGCTCGTGTGAATTCTTGTTCATTCACAGGCCTCCCCTCGTCTCTGTGAAGTGAATGCATCAAGGAATCTCAGTTATGCCGGTGGTAAACTACTGAGGCTAAAATGGTGTGCAGTGTTTCTATAGGCCCTCAGTCTGGCTGTGGAGCGCTGTTTGGCAGGAGACAGGTGGATTTTATAGTAAAAGCCTGTCCAGCCCACATTCCTCCAATAAAACAGTGCTTCTAATATGCAGATTATTATGTGAACGGGCTCTATTAAATACTGTCTTCCTTTACATTCTGCTGAGTCAGTCTCTTGTTCAATGTAGTTCAGGAATAATGAATGCTGGGAACACAGCTGGAAGTTAGTTGAGTCACAGAAATCTGCATAAATATATACACATTTAATTTTTTTGAATTGTTCAAGACAAGAAAATGTGATATTGGGGCTTCACAGCTTCCTGCATGATAGACAAGCTGATAATTCTGAAAACAATTTAAAAGTATTGCTCAGTTTTACAGGTACGCTGTGTATTTTTTCTGGTTTCCACTCTGTAGTGCTGCTGTTACCTGTGGAATATTGTTCAATCGGGCAGGAACGTAGCTTCTGTTTGTGTTTTGTGAAGAGAAATGTGAGGTTTTACTTTGTCAGAAAGTGCGATTTCTTCACAGTAACCCCTCAAAAGGTTTAATAGTCCTGTCAATGGAGTCGTTGAACACATCTTACTGAGTTTGTGTGACATGTAGGTCTGTGTGGTTGGAGGGGAGTATGTGTTAGTAAAGATAGTCCAGCTCCTCCCACTCTTCTGTCTGTCAGTTAGCCTGTGACAGCTGGGAATGCAACACTAAACACTCAAGATTAAACTATCACACTGAGGCTAGTGAATGGGGATGGTGTGTGCCGCCTGACTTAACTCTTATATGGAAAGATTTCACACTTATTGCAGAACTCTTGTCTTTTGAATTCAGAAGTGTTTTTTTTCCGCTGTGTTCTGCCAGTAGGAAAGCTGAGAAGTGTGTGTAGCAAGACATGTTTATTTCAGGTCTTCATTTGCTCTATGAACAGTTTGTCGTGGTGTGCAAGTTAGATAACTGGCTTGCAATTAACCACATGAATTTTCACGGTCAGACGGACCACATGCTGCATCATGTGTACATTGCATTTAACAATAGGTTTAAAATAACGTCAAAATCAGAGGCTCAATCCGGCTAAAGCATTTAAATTTGGAACACAAGTGTTACACCTGCTTGGTAAAAAAAAAAAAAATAAAAAAAATCCAAGAGCCGTAAGAGTGAACCATGAACAGATTGACATTGGCACCAGAAACACAGTATTTGCTGCGACTGCTGCTGAGAACTAACACTGTGGAGGCTGTGGTTGGAAAATAGAGTGGAGTGGGTTTTGTGCACATGATCGTCCTCCTTTGAAACCAGTTGCAGAACATGAAAACTGGGTCACTGATAGATCTTCTACAAACACCGTATTACTGCATGTGTTGCATGAATCGAAGTGTTTCAGTCGTCCCGTGTGGATGTGTTACCTGCCGACCGTTTCCCACCAAGAAAGTGTTCAGTTCAGACTGTTAGCCAGTGATATACAAGGTCTAAATCAGCCCATAATGAACTAGCTTATTACATTTTGGCTCTTTCGACACTGATTACAGCCATGTGACATCTGTTTCATGTGTGTTGCTCCAAAGGTGGCTGCTGTGGCTCAGATCAGAAGACGTATGTCGTAGGAGGCTGGGCTTGGGCCTGGTGGCTCATCTCTGACATCCAGAGGTAAGACATATCTGCTCTGGCTTCAACCCAAAAACAATACTTAAATATGCTCACTAGCTCAGTCAGGAAGCTTTTAAGAACGGGGTATTTGCCGGGTCCACACGAGAGGCTTTCCACAGGTTTGAATTTTCCATTTTAAGTCCCTCTGTCAACCATTTAGCATCACAGCTATAGGTTCTGTTACCCAGCGAGGTCTTTAAGATACGATAAGATAATTCTTTATTGATTCGAAATTTGGGAAAACTTGTTCATTAACTTGTTATTGTTAACTGCACAATAAAGAGTTGGCTTAGTTAAATGAAAGAGCGTGAGCCTGTTGTAGAGTTTGCACAAATATTACGCTTCACCACACACAAGGCTGTATTGCATTATTGTGGATAACTTGTTGTTAATTTTGGTTTTGATGTTAAAACACTGAGCAGATGTTTCCAGATATTTTTCTACCAAAATGTTGTGACACAAAATTAGATTTCATTTGAACAAGTTCAACATTTCCATTATGGACGCTCAGTGGGTTTTTCTTTAGCGGGAACTTAAGGCACTGCGTCAACCTGACACACACAGAAAACATAATAAGTCTCATAATTTATTAAGCAGGTATAATTAGAGGCTGATGCTATTCTATATCCTGTTTTCTTATTGTTAACAAATCCAAAGCCATCCTTGAATTGATCCTCAGAATAAGTTTAGCCTGTGGAGCTAAAATCTGATATCTCCATGTAGCTCTGTGCCACAGAGCTCCATTGTTGTCCTGAAACTATTAAAACTGAGTTATATGTGCCTAATGAACATGGGAACTGTAATTAGTTTACTTTTTTAAAATCCTATGTATTATATTCTAGTGCAATAAATACACACTCGTCCAGAAAATGTGCATTACAGCTGGAAAAGGTTTCTAACACATATACTATTTCATTTTGATTCACTGATATTTGCTAAAAATAAAAAAAAAAGTTGTAGGAGATAGAGCTGCTCATTTCTGGAGTTTGTTAGCAATAACAAATGTAATGTTACCAGATCATACTTCAACATTAGGAATAACAAACAAACAAACAAAATTTATTTAGAAAACTTCATCTTGAGGTAGTGGACGATGGAAGTTTGGCGCAGCAGATACCTTGAAAATTGAATTTTTGGATCAATCAGGTAATGGGTCAAATTGTTTGTGCCTTGAACAAGTTTTTTTTTTTTTCATTAAAATAAAAGGAATGGCTGTTCTCAGTTACCTACATTCATACATTTCGGTGCAGAATAAGCAAGTGTGAACTGAGACAAACATCAATATCACAAACTAATGTTTAACAATTGTGTAAACAAAGCGGCTCAGCACCGTCAGCTTCTTTTAAATTCACCCCAATGAACCAGCTTCGTATTAACACTGGAAAGACAAACAGAGGGCACATAATGGCACGGAGAGGGACAGGTACAAACACAATATTTGTGGAACCACAGTTGACTGTAAACCTTGTAGTGCCCTGGACTAAACCACAGAAACACAAATCTTACATTTCTCTATTTGAATGTAGTCCTGATCAATAAGCAACGCCTGCAGCTGAAACACTGACACCCTGTAGATGTGTGGAGTGTTTGTTTAAGCATCAACCCGCTGTACAGCATAAAACTACTCACTCTAACCTCAAATATGGGCCAGCAGGTTTGAGAGTCAGTTATTTTTTGCAGTGAAACAGACCCTGAACGGGCTTGCGGCCACCTTTCACATCTGAGTGATCGCTAATTACAACTGAACAAGTCAAACTATGAGAAAATATCAAGGCTCTATTTTCTTTAAGTGTAATTCTTTTCATTTAAAAGCCTCAGAGCCTCAAAAGCTGAGGTGTTTTTTGTTTTTTTAGCGAAACATCTAGCTACTGGAAAATCAGCTGTGAAATGCAGCATATGGTAATCCTCTGAAAAAAGCAGTGATTGTATCCCTTGTTTCTGGAGCTCTTGGTATTAAGTGATTTATTTGTTTGCCTGCCTCTTTATTTCTACTTTGCTAACTTGCTTTGCTTTGTCTGGTATTGATCTCACCCCGTCTAACCCCTGGTGTGTCTCCTTCATGTTACCAATTTCACATTAAGTGCTGCTCTATGGCTTCAGTTGCTAGGAAACGTAACGGTAGAGCGCGGTAACAAAATGTAAAAGTTAAGGCATGTCAGGATTTATCTCAATTTAGAGTCAAACTGCCCCAGGAATCCCTTCTCATCTATTTTTATTCAGAATTTTGGCCGTGAGCAGTTTGGTCACCATTTCAGACGCTTCCTTGGATGATCAGAACAAGAAAGATGCTCTTGCGCCTCTCAAGAGCAGCGGTCATGTCTGCTAAAAGCCCTCGTGCATAAGCCAGTAGCTGGATAGCATTATAACAACGGTGGGAGGGAGTGAGGCTTCCCGCTTGTGATGCAGTAATCATGTTAATGTCCAGGCCTGTGACTCATTGATCCAGTTCCTCTGAAAGAAAAAAGGAGGTGGAGCTATTCACGAGAAAGAGTCTTGTGTGTGTGTTGCTGCAGTCTGCCTCCCATGTCTTTGACTCGGAAGCCGACTCCAACAATAAGGAGTCTAAGTCAGTGTTTATTACAAAAGAACAGCTCGGCCTGTTTTATCAGCTCTGAAACATGATCTCATATAAACAGCCCAGTACTGAAGCAGAGGGTATGGCTGTTTGCAGAAGGCATTTCTGTGTTATCTCTAGCCTCTTTGTTCTTGGAGAGCCAGTGGGATCAAGAATCCTGTCAACACTAACTTTGGGTTTTAATTTGTGGAACTTGCCCTTTTTCACAGTTTAATTAAAATCGATATTTTAAAATGAGACTAGATTAGCTGTGACAGTTTTATAAGAGGTGTCACCAGCAGCACTTTAGACTAAAACCAGCAAAATAAGAAGTCAGGTTTTGTCTTTTGCCCCCTCCCTCTTCCCTCTTCCTCTTGACCTTGGTTACTGACATTCCTAACAGCTGTTGTCCAACTTACTGTTTTGCCTCTGCTATTCCCGCTGCCTGCCTGCCTGCGTAGAATGTCTCTGGAGGTTATGACCATCCTCTGTCGCTGTGAGAATATCGAAACCTCGGAGGGTGTTCCCCTGGATGTGACAGGGGTGGCTCAGGTAATGCATTTAAAAAGACGAAAAAAAGAAAAAAAAAGCAGTGGCTGGTGCTCGAGGACGACAAAGGAAAACGGTTCAACTAACGAGCTAACGTTGTCTTTGTGTGTTATCATCTTCATGTCTTTTTTTCTTCTGCAGTCAAAGGAAGAAAATCAGCTGTCACTAACTATGGCTGCAGCTTTGCCATAAAACTGAGCTCTGAGTCACCTTTGGCAACGGGGTCACTAAATGAATGCTATATAAATTTCTACAATGAGGATGTGAAGAGTCAAATTCAGATATTTCAACCAAGTTTCATTTTCAAATAACCAAAGCAAAAACCTGACCATAAAGACATTTGAATAGTGGATAGCATCTCATTTTGCTCCGTTGTTAGTGATCTGGAGTCCTTGGGTGAATGGTGTCACTTTGTCTAGTTTTTCTTTTCTTGTGTTCTGTTCCTTCCCCTCATTTGCTTTCCCTGCGAACATGTCAATTTTTATTTTATATTTTTCCACATTCTTCACAGGATAACGCTTGAGATTATGACCCTGCAGCCCAAGTGTGAGGATGTAGAGACAGCGGAGGGTGTAGCTATTACTGTCACTGGGGTGGCTCAGGTAAATCACCACACTTCCCTGGGAATGCCAGTTCAGACTCCTCTAACCCTCCCTCCTTCCCCTTCTTCTCTCGGCATCAGCCCATAAACAAAGCAGAGGTGCTCTTTCATACAGAGGGCTCAAGCACATATGTTTACCTGCATTTTTCATTAGGACGTTAGGATAGACATACATACACAGATGTTGGGTCAAATTGCTGTTTGCATGATTTACCCTCATATCTGGGCAGAATGCACCGAGCTATACTTATCATACCAAGCTGCAGTCAGACTGACAGTTGCACTGTGTTTAAAAAAAATAAATTTAAAAAAAGGGGAATCTGACAGTCAGACCTCAAAATTGGCACAGTTCAGTTGGCATTGTGTGTCAAATAAGGCTTCAAATTAGACTTCCTGGTGTGTATTTCATAATGTCATTGAAAGCTGCAGCAGCGCACTCACACCAATATTTCCCCTTGCATTGTGTTGACACAGTATTATTGTCAGTCTTTCAGTGAACTTGGTCCAAGCGTGACAAAAAATAGGGTTGGGCAAGAGCCTGGTATACACTTCACTGTCTGTCTCAGTGTATTATGTTTTTATTGTGTTGGCTATTTGTTCGTTTGATCCAGTGTTGGGGCTGTCACCTTGTTAAAAATTTAAATATTTCTTTAAAAATGATTTAAGGAAAATGTCTAATTGATATTTTTGGACAGATTATGTGATGAAGTTTGCCAAACGCTTTTTGCTTCAGTCTAATATTCACTGTGATATAGATTTAAAACATGATGGAGCATTACTACATGAGATATTATCAGAAGTGTGACCGTCACACAAGGAGGATTCATGAATCATATGTATCCTAAATTGCAGCCTTTGCAATTTGCTAATTGCATCGTTTTTAATTACAATTTTAATTTGAAATCAGTTAACTGTTCAGCCTTAGTTAAAATGTTTGAAAACAGTAAATCTTTGATTTGTAATGACCTGTGCAAATTCAAAATGAACAGTTGCAGAATGCTTCAAGCGGTGGTTTATGTTGTGGTACGGGTGGACACTAGACAACAAATCAGATAGTCGTGACACCTAAGCATCTGAGAACGAGCAGGTTCCTTTTCATCGATGGCAAATCTGGCATCAATCTGTTGCTGACTTTGTAAAGAGCACCGTCTTGCTCTCCAACAGTAATAAACCTAAAGGCTTACATGGCAGCTCAAGCAAATGATGCAGTAGAGACAGAGAGAATACATATTATATAGACTGTGCCTAGATTAGTTAGTAGTTAATTACGTGCCAGTTGAAATTTGTTCAAATTTGATTTGTCTGGTTCCCTTTTGGCTGAATGTTACAGCTCATCAGCCCACATTGGAGCGAATGCTCTGAGCAGCCAGTCCATGGTATGACCCCGAGCTGGATGGACTTTCCTGCTCGACATTCCTCTGCTTTCTTTCCCCATACTTCCCGTCTGTCTCCACTGTCTGTCTCGGAAAGACAAAAATGCCTCTTAAAAAAAACAAAAAACAAACACACGATTTGTAAAGGTGACAGCCCTGTCTTGATCAGTGAGAAAAGGAATTTCATTTTTAGGTTAAAAAATTTGAGGGGCTAAAGAGAAAATCCACCATTAAGAACATTTACTATACATATGTTTCACATTCAGTTTTGGTATTTACACGTAGAAATGTGAGCCACATTAATACACAGACACTGAAGTGCACCTCCTCAGAAATGGAACCGTGGCTCACAAAGGCTTATAAAGACTTCTGGACTGTGATTGGTCAGCTTGGCCTGCTTGGCTTTTCCTTTACAGGTTTCTGATGTTCATGTTTTTGCTATAAGTGAAAGCAGCTTTTGGTGAGTTGAACTGCAGCAAACATTTGCTTCCCAAGATTATTTCTTTGTACCAGAGAGATACATGGAAGGAATATCCTGCTAACAAAAGAATAATAAAAGTAGAATATACAGCTAATGACACCAAGCAAATGTTTCCTTCACCACACTACAAGAGAGTGCATGAAAGATCGTAAACACAATACGGTGGGAATATAATGACAGCTTGACATGGCCTGATCATTGGTTATTCATCTAACTGTGTGTCGCTGTTTGTCAGTGGTTTTATAAGCGCCAGACTTACTGACATCAAACCTACACTGTCCACAGCAGGACTATTGGTAGCTTCTTGTGTCAAGTACAAATTGAGTGTCCTCACGTCACAAACAGAGTCCCAGCTTTGGTAGCTCTCCCTGACCGGGCACATTCTGCCTACTCCAAATGACTGAATACAGGTTTTTCCTTGTAAAAACTCATTTTGTAGATAAGTGTTGACTGAATTCTGCACAAGAGTAAAATGAAGTGAAATCTTTTTTGTGGTGGGTTTTCTCTTTAAGCATTAGTTTCATATTATGAACACTGTTCTCTGCATTCCCATTTCACATTATTCGTTTCCTGTTTTTTGTCTGCATGTCAGTATTTCTTTTTCAGTTTGAGAGTTGGGGCCTCATTATGAGTTCTCTATTTTCGCCACAGTCATGCTAATGTTCCTCTCCTCTGTGTTCTCCTACATGTATGCTGACAATGAGCCCACTGTCTGGAGCTGGACAACGCCTCACTCTCACACAGTTTACTTCACAGAAAGGCTCATCATGGCCACCGTTTAATTGGTCCAACCTTAGCCAAAGCCATTGTGGAGTGCGTGTCCCGTGGCAACAGGAGTTGTGGGTCCTTCTGAATGAAAGAGATATACATTCAGACTTGGAGGGAGGCAGAATTAATTTAAAAGAAACGATGGCAGAACTTTAATCTAGGATACTAACTTCACTTTTCCAATTGGATAGAAAACCCATTTCCATCACATTTTGCCTCGTGACTTTCAGTAGGACTGTTTTTGTTTTCCTTGACAGGCTAATGGCCAGTTGGCAGGAAAAATGCATCAAGTGAAGGACCCAACAAATCCATCACATTTATAAAAAAAAAAAAAAAAAAAAAAAAAAAAAAAAAAAAAAAAATATATATATATATATATATACACACACTATCTGGGCTTTGAGCTACGACATGTCACTCTGTATCTGTGAGGAGTTGTGGGTTTAGAGAAGTCAGGAGAAGAGGTGGCGTCATGAGGCAGATGGGAGGGTGGGGTAGTGATCAGGAGCTGCGGGCAAGAGATTACACACAAGTCCTCACTCCAGTCTAGACCATGGCACGACTCCCCCTGCTGTCTGTGTGAGCCAACCTGTGTGTTCGTGTGGCTGGCTTGTGGCCTTTTCTGTTTTCAGACCAGTGTTTCCTTGGAATGACAACCACCTTTCCTGACTCTGTGTTGCCCTCATTCCTGGTATGAGTGCATGTTGCAAACCCAAACCACGTGCAGACCTCTCGCCTAAGGACCCAGCTCACTCTCTTTGTTTCTTACAGCTCCAGTGGACTACAACAATACACAAACTTTTCTTACTACATTTTTAATTTCTGGACTGTCCAATTGGACTTTCTTACTATGAATGGCTGCCGTTGTGTGAATCTTGTGAACCTCAGGTCGTTGCCACTGATGTTTGTTGTGGTTTTGTTTTAATGTGAAGTGTCTATCTGTTTTTTTTTTCCTTCTTTAATTTCTTCAAGGTATAATGATCCTGTTCATTGTTTTGGGCCTCCTAAGTCAATTAGTGCAGAGTGAGACATTGAATTTCATTGTGTGTAACCGTTATTTGAATGTAGAACTGAACAGATAATATGTCCTTTTATTTATTTGTGTACATCAGGGAGTTTTATAGAAGCATTTTTATTTACAAATATATATGTACTGTACATATTTTGCTTGTCATCATAAACCCAAAAGGATCAAATCTATAGTTAATACATTTATGTCTGCATCTACTGATGCTCACCAGAGTAAAGCATATAAACGCTGATTACTGATCATGGTTTGACATTAGAAGGCCACAGATTATATGCAAGGATGCTGTTGACTACTTGTTTGTTTATTTACAGCCTTTATACTGTGGTGATTTATTAGAGATAGTACATATCAAGGACAAAAATTTACAACCAAAAAAATGTAAACTAAGATAAATATTTTTTCAAAAAGGGAAACATCATGTGATGTATTCCGAATATATTATGATTTATATATTGGCATCATTAGGCTAAAAATGCTGCCCATGTGCTTTGGGTTTATAGTCATTTATCCGGCCATATAGATTTTTTACCATGTCATGAATGGCCAATATTTTCAAACTCCCCATTTGATCAGCCAAGTTGTATACAAGCTTCGGATAATAGTGATCAGCAATGAGCATGTACACCCTTCTTGATAAGCACATGCTGTGCAGGCGACTACTGCTTTAGTAATGTGTCTAATAATAGTCTTTCCTTGTATGTATATGTAGCAGTTCATCACAGTGCTAGTGTTTGCCAGATCAATTCGGAACCAAAAATCTTCTGAAAACAAATCAGGAGTTATGCATCCATGTCACTAAGGCATTGCAAACTTCCATTTTAAATCAATTAAACTTCTTTTGAACTTCAAATTGTTTTTCACACTGATGTTGTAGAAGTGAACGGTAAAGAATGACCTGCGGTAACTGTTCCAATAGAAAATGTTTGTTTAATGATACCACAAAAGCTAATATGTGTTATGTTTTCATGTGTGTGCCTCTATTTGCATTTGTGCTTGCGCTGTGTTTGTGAATGTGTGTTCAGCTGACGATCTGTGTCCATGTTGGCACTAGGTGAAGGTGATGACAGAAAATGAACTGCTGGGTTATGCCTGCGAACAGTTCCTGGGGAAGTCAGTCATGGAGATCAAGAGCGTCATCCTGCAGACCCTCGAGGGTCACCTGCGTGCCATCCTTGGTGGGTAGCTTCTTAAAACTGTATAGTCAGAGTTTGTTTCTGTTCTTGATCCTCTGTGCTAAACTGTTGGGACTATGGGTTAGTTACTGTGGTAGCTCTGACCAGGTTCATGCTAAACATGCTGGACCTTATCTGAGCTGAAGGAATTCATCTTGGTCTCATCTGACTAAATACTTTGCTGCCAATATTCATCAGGCTTTTTTCAGGTTCTTTGGCAGTGTTTTATGTTGCAGTTTTGTTAGGAACATTAAGTCACGGCATTTTTCTGTGATGCTGTCCATAGAGGTCGATATTACGCTGTCACAGAAACCCTGTTGATTTTCATTGATAACCCCTCTGCCAAGTCTGAAGCACATCCCTATCTGTTTTCCTGAACTATATTATGCAAGAAGCACACTGTCTGTGGCGTCATTTTTATTAGAACAACTATTGCAGTTCTGAGTAGCCGTACTGTGGCTTTTTTTATACCTAAACATTATGGCTACAACTGTGTTTCCACTTATTTTTAGTTTGTCACTGATCTATGTGTATCCTTTTCCGACATTGTGAAGACACTAACCACTCTTTCCATCTTTCAGGTACCCTCACTGTTGAGCAGATTTACCAAGACAGAGACAAATTTGCCACCCTGGTGCGTGAGGTGGCAGCACCCGATGTCGGCCGCATGGGCATCGAAATCCTCAGCTTCACCATTAAGGTAGGACACAGAAAATATCAAATTCATCCTGCATTTTTTTTTTGAGCAGTTGTTTCCTGTTGCTAGTCCTGGTTTGAATACTTGATTTGTTCACCATACTGTACCTCAGCGTGTATATTTTCCTCCTCACAGGATGTATATGATAAAGTGGAGTACCTGAGCTCACTGGGCAAAACTCAGACGGCTGCAGTGCAGAGGGATGCAGACATCGGTGTAGCAGAGGCAGAGAGAGATGCTGGCATCAGGGTAAGAAGAGCTACAAACATGGGCAGTAAAAAAACATCCATTGTCTAATTGCTAATAGCCATATGACATTAGAAAACCAACAAACTACTTCCAGTCCATCTCACTGTCATTATGTTTTGCGCACCGTCTTTCACAGGAAGCCGAGTGTAAGAAAGAAATGATGGATGTGAAGTTCGTCGCAGACACAAAAATGGCCGACTCCAAACGAGAGCTGGAAATGCAGAAAGCTTCCTTTAACCAGGAAGTGAACACAAAGGTACGCTGCTGAACGCACTGGATTGAATGTGTTGTCAACAAACATGGAAGTTATACATTACCAAATCTCCTGCCTCTGTAGAAAGCACAGGCCCAGCTGGCGTACGAGCTGCAGGCAGCCAAAGAGCAGCAGAAGATCCGTCTGGAGGAGATCGAAATCGAGGTCGTACAGAGGAAGAAGCAGATCACAATTGAAGAGAAAGAGATCGACCGTACTGAAAAGGAGCTCATCGCCACTGTGAAGAGACCTGCCGAGGCCGAAGCCTACAAGATGCAGCAGCTGGCTGAAGGGCAGAAGTGAGTCGGTCCCACACAGATCCTCTTACAAACCACAGAGAACCACTCAGACTGTACAGTGACAGGGGAAAATGCTAATGGGATCATCACAGTTGTTTCCTTTGCAAATATAGTTTTCAACTGTTAACTTTATTTAGAATTCTTGAAACAGGAGCAACTACACTACATAACCCATTACTGGATGTATTGGATATAATGTGACATTGCTTGTGCCATAATCAAAGGTGTTCATTTATTTATAGACCCTGTTATGATGGAATACCACATCAATGATATATATGAATATACCTCTGATTACTGGATGGAAAAAAAATAGACTAATGACTTTGCAAATGCACATTTCACACATTGCAGAATAATATATGACTGAGTGCTACGTCCTTTTGATGCCTCTCTTACTCTCTCCCAGGATAAAGAAAGTGCTGACAGCACAGGCAGAGGCTGAGAAGATCCGCTGTATCGGTGAGGCAGAGGCTTCTTCCATTGAAGCAGTGGGAAAGGCAGAGGCTGAAAAGATGAGGATGAAAGCTGAGGCCTACCAGCAGTACGGCGAGGCTGCCAAGACCGCTCTGGTCCTGGAGGCTCTGCCCAAGGTCTGTGAAATACATTCATTTACTAGTCATTTAAAAAGAAATCAGCAGCATTGGTGGTGTTTGGCTTACTGGTTGTACTACCCAGCTTTTGGCACCAAAACCATTCTCTTTACCTCGCGTCTTCCAAGGCAGTTCAAAAGCCGGTTCCTAACCTTAAACCAGTTCATCACATTTCAACAGCCGAAGAACCGACTCTTAGTGAGAAAAGCTGGTTCCAGAGTGGCACCGACACTAGAACCAAGATCTGCTTACATCAGGGTCGGGGTGGTGGGATTATTGTGGAAAAAAACAGAGCTTGTGTAGCATCTGGTCCGCCTAATCGAAAGAAGAAAAAGAAAAGTCAGTGCTTCAGTATGGACATGATATGGAAGCAGCAGTGTGTGGAAAGTTGATATGTCCATGAATCATTTCAGGGTCTAAGTGTTCTCTTTAAACAGCTTTTCCATGTGAATGCTAACAAGACAAAACTTTTGCTTTTTAGTTGATATACCTTTTTATTCTCAAACATCAACAAACTAGTCTCTACCAGCAGTTTTAAAAGTGAGCCACATTAAATACACTCTGCAGGTGTCACGTTCTGTGTGAACAAGAAGCCTGGCACCTGGCAGGTTTACATGTTGATCATTAAAAATGAACTAACACTCCTGTGTCACAGATGCTGCAGGCACTCATTTTCTCATGTGTAGGGGGATGCGGCTCCCCAGGGATATCTTGACATGGAGTTTGTGAAAGCATTAGTGTCTCACGATTCAAAACTCAAAGTGTTTATTGTCATACGTACAGTCTGGAAACGTGCTTCCCTGCACTGACATTCTTTCTTTGCTTATCCAGCACACATGTCAAACAATATAAACCTAAATACAAAATAAATAAAAAAGATAAATAGAGGTACGAAACTGATAGAACACTGATCCCAGCTGCAGACTTCAAATATGTTTGTCACGTCACTGATTCTAAAACTTCTTAGATATAAATGATGGGCTGTAAGGAGGGCTTTGTCATCGAAATAACAAACATATTGTCACTGTGTTGTTTCAGATTGCTGGCAAAGTGGCTGCACCCCTCGCCAAGACCAATGAGATCGTCATCCTGAGTGGAGAAGGCAGCCGTGTGACTGGAGAGGTGAACCGTCTATTAGCTGAACTCCCAGTCTCCGTCAACGCTCTCACTGGGGTGGATCTGACGAAGGTGAGAGCGGCACTCTTTTATTTCAAGATGATTTATTTCATTAGACTTGTGCATCTTAAATACTTTAACTTATCTTCATGGTCAGTTGTGTGATTGGCTCACGACTGCTGGAAGATTTGTTCTTGAACGAATAAGACAAAGCAGCTTCATAATACTGTTGGGTGTCCATACACACTGTTGCCCATAACGTTGGAATAAAATATTTCTTTATTGTGACAGTGCGATTTATTCCTGATGGATAAAATGTATATCTTCTTAAAACTTTATTGATTTTACACATACAATACACATCACAGTAAAAATTAAACCACAATTAACTTTTGTAAACTGTGAATCCAGGCTTAAACTAAATTGGGGGCATTGACCAATAGGATTAAGGGTTTTGTTTACATTTTTCAACCTTGGTCATACAACAGGAAACATATATTTGAGGGATTTCATGCATTAGAATGTCCAGTATTACTCTTTAAATGTCACTCAGTCGCTATTATTGAGTCTGGCCACCCCTGACATGGATCAATGCGTTAAGACAGCGGTCCCCAACCACTGGGCCACGGACCGGTACCGGGCCGCACAGAATGGGAAAAAAAACAACAACATTTGGTTGGTTTGTTGTTTTTTCCCCAGCGAAGTCTGCAGGGTGTTTTTTTTTTTAAAAAATGACTAGCTCGTCTTCCCATCGCATCTGTCTGAGCTTGTTTCTCGCACTTGACTCTGTTAGTTTTTATCTGTTAAACGAAGCCGTCAGTCTGACAGTTGCCGAAATTAATAAAAAAAACAAACGTCTCAGCTTCTTTGGAAAGTGGGAGAGACTCGATACTGAGATGGAAGAGAAACGTGTATTTAGCAAGTAATTTTACTAATTTATGAAACTTTTTAATAGAAATAAACAAGTATTTTTTGTAGCGTGACCGACCCGTAGAAAATTTTCTTGCTTAAAACCAGTTCGTGGTGCAAAAAAGGTTGAAGACATGGTGGCATCCTGTCCACCAGCTGGTTAATGGTGTCAATGGGCAGGACCTCCCACTCTTCAGTCAGGTCCTGAAGTCAGAACTCATTTCACCGTTAGGACTCAGTATGTAATTATTGCACCTGGTCAGAAGTGATGACTGATGTGTAGAAATAGAAATAAAAAGAGGAATGTGTCTGAAAACAAAAATTATTCCATCTATATGGGCAACAGTGTCATTGCTAGAAACTAGATTTTCAGTGGAATAAAGCATTATGACAAGAAAATGGCCGCAGGGCACTAAGCTGAGCACAAACACCCGCCAACGCTCAACAGCTCTCCGTGTTGCCAAGCTGTGGCCTCCGTGCTGTAGGTTGATTATTCTCTTCTTCAGGGACTTTCCAACAGCATCACACACAAATGTTTAGCAGTTTAACAGCAGCCTGGAAGTCAAACGGAGAATTTACCACCCACATACGAACAAAGGAAAATAGTTATTACAGAAAACTGAACATCTTATTGTGTAAATAGGCCACTGCTTGACTTTCCAAGGCGGTTATAGTTCAATGTTGTTTTAGTTTGTTCAGCAGTCGTTGAGCCGTAAAGAATTCAGGTGTCGGCGCTTTAGAAGGAGTAATGGATTACCAAGCCTTCCCACATTTTTCATTTATTTAAACCTGCTCTTTTTGTAACTTCCACAGCTTTCATCCAGTCTTTACCGTAAATATTCGGTCCATAACATGTTTGGCTAAGCTTAAAGGCTCACAGGCGATAATTGGTAGCTGTAACATCTCGGCGCTTATTGCAGTCTGATTGTAGTCATTTACTTACTGAGTAATTCTGCTTGATGACAGTTTGTGTACTGGTGGCTTTACAGGAACAAAACACAAAAAGTGGCTATATTTGGACTTCGATAATCTCCCAGAATGCCACAGTCCTGTCTTCAGCCCCATGATGAGCCGTCAGACAGCCTTTTTCTAAAAACTTAACTTAACATTCGGACAGCCCTACAAAATGGCGTGTATCCTATATAGTGCACTATAGACGTCATAGGGAGTGATTTCAGACACAGCCCAGGTCTTCAGCTCCAGGCTAATTAACTGAGATGACTGACAGCTGGTGTCCTGGAGCAGCTCTCAACCAGCCACAGCTGGGCCTACACAGGTCATCTCCACACACCATGGTCACAAGTCCACATGACAAAACAGTCTAGTACAGCGCTGGAACTCTGGTCTGTGGTGTATTAGTGCAAAGCATGGGTGTGTTCGAATACAAAGTTTTGCGGTTGAGAAAATGTAGAGCAGAAGGGAAGCGCTTTGTCACTGCACATTTCAACAGATATTGACCTCTGATTAAGTAACTTAAAGGCGTTCTGTTGCTGACACGATCCACACCAGCGCATCGCTTAGCCTCCAGGCTTCCTCTCTGCTTTTCCAAACTGAGGGTGAATCTACTGCAGCTGTATCGTACCTCAGTACCTCGGTACCTCAGTAACTCTTCTTCAAAGAGACCAAACTGTCCCTTCAACCCATTCACTCATACATTCCCTCACATCAGCATTCATCAGCAGCCGTCACCTGCATCCCTTTCACAAACCGGTTCTTCTCGTTTGAGGTTTTATTTCTAAGCGTGTGTTTTGTTTCCGCTCTGTGCTGAAACCATCCTTGTCCTCTTCCCCACAGATCCCTCTGCTCCAGAAGATGACCAACCCACAGTGCCAAACAGCCATGTGATGAATCAGGCCTGAGACTCGTTACTCTGAATCTTTTGCTGTGTATCTGCCTCAAGCATGAAAACAGTTCAATCCCTTATGCAACTGCCTTTGACCAGAAACACTTGACACCAACCAAGAGCTTTTTTATATTTTTAAGAGGTTTTTAATTTTCTAAAGGAAAAAAAAAAAAAAAAAACTAAAACAGGGGCCTTACTTCAGAAGGACCAGACTGTATGTATCCTCTGTTGTTTTTAGTTTTTGTTGTAGAAACATTTATCGTACTGCACTAGTTAGCCAGAATTATATGCTGCAATCTTATTCAGTCCCACAGGTCATCACAAAGAGAGCTGGGTGTTTCTGAGACAAAAGTCAGAGTTGTAGGCGAGGGAACGAATCCAGAAATATACAGGACAAATCTCTACATAGCTGTCTAAATTTCTGCCTGGAGTTTGGAGTGCGCTGCTTTCCTGTCGGGTGTTTTGACACTTTATCAGCTCTGGAAGTGGAGCAAAGTGTTTCCAGCTCCTGCCTCTTCATGACACACTCAATCATCGAATACTTAGAGCCCCGTTAATGAAGTAGCTTCCAGTAGACTGAGCTAGACTGCAGCTTTCAGGCCTTCTTTGCTTTTAAAACTAGGATTTCTAGAGCTGTTAGATTAACAAATTATGTTATGACGCAGCCGATCTTCACGCACTGTGATTATAGAATTGACAGTATATCACAATATCAGCGACACATTTGAGTCATGCATGATGAACTTTACCTCACAGTAGATTCTCACGTAGCCCGTCCTCTTGTTCTGATGTGCAGTGCCTGTTCACCACTCAAGTGCCCAAACCGTAGGACAGTGGTTTGGCTTTAGTTGGGTTAATGTCCGAGTATATCACTGTGTTCTAGATGGATGAAGTTTAAATATTATCTCATGACATCTGCCTGTACTAACAGTAGTGTTTTTAGCTTCACTTTTGTCGTGTGTTCGGACACATGGGCAGAGATAAAATCGCTAATCAGATGCATAACTAACGCAAAGCCATACTTAGAAGTGATTAGCCTTAATGGAGACCTTGGATGCCTGCCAGGCTTACTGAACATTTCTGTATTACCTCAAGTGGCACGTGGAAGACATTCAGGGTCTGAGGTTTAATTCGATTCGCTCCTCCTCTCTCTCCCCTCGGTCCACCTGGATCGACTATTAGCCCGTCTTCTCTTCACATGTGGTAACGTGTTTCCTAGACGTTGTTTGAAATTTTTCAGATTGTGTACATATTTTTTACTTTAAAAAGTAAACCCCCCCACACTAAATCCTCAGCAGAGGCTCGCCGCTGACCTCTGTGGGTTCAAAGTTGCCTCGGCGTTGCAGATCTGACCACTCCCGGTCCGGGATGACAAAGCAGGAATTTAAGGTTTGCACTCGGTCAAAAGTTGGAAAGCGAGCAGGTGATCAGGCTGGAAACACTGCACACGGTGTTTGTGCTCAGGTGGCCTTTAGTTTGGGAAAAGAAACGTGAGGTGTGGGCGAAAGGTCGGACGTCTCCGTCTGACGTTTTGAATCAAAAGAAACTGTCCGAGGCTCTAATTTCTACATGCAGTCTGTTACAATATCACTTTGAATACGTTCCAAAATCCACGTGTAACCTCATGATCGTGTAAACAGCTTTAAAAGAGTTTAATTTCACAGAGACATAATCGACACCTGTTACATTAGTTCCTCTTATGAGTCATAAAATTCTAGCATCACTCATAAATTACTACGTTTAGAGCGTCTTCAAACTTTAAATAGATGTTTTCATTTCTTTCACAGCAGGTCAAAGCTCATGACTTGTGGTGTGCACTTGCAGGTTTCAACCTCTAGATGGCAGAATCTCAGCACGATTTTCAGTTCTTCAATCTGAATGAGCCTTTTGTTGCTACATGTTACAAACCTAAGCTTCATATTTTTATATCATCTTCTGTGTTGTTTTGTTACATCATCCACACAGCTTTTTTTTTTTATTATTTTATTTCTGTTACGCTTCTGTTATTGTGAATAATCATTAACCACTCATCAGAATCTGTGACCATAAATGTTACGCTTCGTTGTGCCAGTGATCGTTATGAAGTTATTATATAGTCGCGCCTTTTTTTTTTTCTTTCCTGTGAAATAAACACGAGGCTTGTTTGGTCTGCGCAGATTTCATCCTGGTCTTTGTTTATTACATGAATGTTGAAGTTCCCTCAAAGCTCTGATGTGCTTCTTGTGTTTGTACCTAGCTTACCGTACATACAAGAATATTATTATGAACCTGTTGATATGTTCTTAAATTCAGAACGGCCAGTGATTTGAACAAGTGATCAGCTGCTGCCAGGATTTCAAACCTGATCACCTTTTTAAACTTTCCACTTCAGGGTGGTCTCTGGTGGGGCTTCGGATGAGTGAGTGAGGCCTCAAATGGCACCAATTCAACATTAAAAACATGCTTGATCAAGGAAAAAAATTCCTTAAATTTCACTAAAACTACAAATTATTGAAGGTGAGAAACGAGACAGTTGCAGATTTGTTTTTTTCTTTTCTATCCACATTGCCTAAATGTCAGCGTTACCGAGGTGATACATGCGAGTTGCGTGTCACAAGTCGTCATTTTAACGTCCGCCGATTTGAAGACACACGAAGTGAAAAATTGTAAAATCGAGTACGCAAAATGTGCAAATGTGTAATTTTACTGAACAAACTTCTTCTACTTTGTGACGCTCCTTTTGCTTTAGAGAAGTAGATCTGTGTACACAGTGCCTTTGTTACATAATGAGGTCATTCGTTCTTCAATGTGCAGATTGTCGACGGTATTAATCAACACGCTCGAAAGTACTGACGGGATGTTCTATTAGGAATTAGCTCCTAGGAAAAAGACCGACTTGTAGATTGTGAACTTGATAAATATATTAGCTGTAAATGTTCCTCTTTCTACTTTATCTGTTTTATGTACTTTATGACATTCTGTCCTACAAAATGTGTAAGGGAACACGCACACACCTATGTATAAATACACATGTAGCACTATAGGAAGCATTTCGCAGCTGTTACTTCTGAATCTGACCTGAGTTGTTATTCGTTGTTTTGGCCATCGTATTTGTGCCAAAGAATTTGCATCGTCTAATCAGATTAATTCTCGTTACTCCCAAGTAGCATTTGAGAGGAGACTGACCAAACATCATAGACCTACGCCTTAACTCTTTGTCTTCATCTGAAACATCTGTTGTCTATCGTACAAGTAATCTGTAATCTCTATTAAGAATTATATTGTGGATTTACCTTGTGGCTTCTCATGTAACACCGGCCTTTGGAGAACTGATCCAGCATGGCATTTTAAGCATGTGTTCATGTTATTCTGTGTTGTGTGCCACCCTCTAATAAATGTTATACCACTCCATGCCGCCTTCGCTGTCTGTCTGTTAAATCAGGAAGGCTTACGTGTGGCGTCTGAGGGAAAACATGACTTCACGATCCTGTACAAGCAAGACGGAGCTTCCAATCCAAACAGACTTTATGAGAGGAAACACTGCAAATAAAACATGAAGTCTTTTCAGGTCCCAAGTAAACACGACAATAAACCCCATCCAAGGTGTGTCTGTGTGATTATTTGTCAGATTAATGATTTGCAGGAGGATCAGCAGCAGCATCATTATCGTAATGCGTCCGTGGCCGGTGCTTTAGTGTGCGGCTGTCCCTCTTGGCAGCCTGACAGAGCTGCAGACTCCAGCACATGACGGCAGAGCTGGAAAGCTTCGGGTCAGCCGGGAGCAGATGTGTCCCCTGGCTGGCGGCTGCCGCTAAGCCGGACATCATCAGAGGTCAGATCACACTGTGACAACATCCTGACGCTCCCACGTGTGCGTCTAAACATCCAACGCTGTTCGTTAGCTGTTTAATAAAGGATTTTTTTTTTGTTCCTTCCTCAGCTCTGTGTCTCATGTTTCATCTTCAGCAGTTTTTTCCCCCATAAAAATTATCCATATACGCCATTAAAAGCCTTAAATGTAACTGCACAGTTGCTTCCTCTTGAATGTGCAAATCTCTCTCCCTGCTCGCTGCAGCTCAGGCACAACAGCTCACCTGTGACTCTGCTCAGACACTGTAGAACGACTCAACACTACACAATGGTACGTTGTAATACTGGGCTGCCCACTTAATGCCATACGGCTTTATAGAACATCCTGTTTATAATCCTAAAATATCGAATCATTTCCTATAGAACCTACAGTAAAACAGCCTGTTTATTATCATAGAATGATGTCATAATCCTGGTTTTTGTCATAATGAAATTCCCCAAAATTGATTCCAGGAATAACTTTTGCACATCAAAGAGAATGGCATTGTTTGCATGTCGTCACTCATAACTGACCTGCTCAGCTAGTTAATCATGATAAGTTAATCCTCTGTATACTCTCTGACTAAAGGAAACAACTTTTATTGATGGGGTGGATTTTCGTACCGACAAAGGTGAACTTTCACTGAATCAAAACCATAAAGCTCCGTTTCAATAAACATTCCTGATCTTCAATGAAACTGTGAAAACATTCCCAATTTGACTTTACCTACAAACCCCTGTTTTCATCACACAGACACATTTTCTCAGCACTCTATAGTTGGGACTGAAGCCTGCTTATTGGACTATCCCGGATATAGTCATAATTGTCATAATTCCATCCTGGACCGAGGGTATGATAATAAAGGGGCAGCACTGTACTGGAGTAATGCAGCCATACAGGTCTGAACCAGAAACTGATTTTGCAGAAGGCTTCACCCTGCTAGTTGACATGATCGATTCCTTAAGTTTTGTTACATATAAAACCCTTGAATCTGTGTTTCTGAGACTGTCATCAGTACAGTGCAGCGTGGAAAGGCTGAGCCATGAAGATAACAGCTTCATTTACTCATAATTTGTCTTCCAGGAAACAAAAACATCCATCCATCTATTATCTATACACCGCTTAATCCTCACTAGGGTC